TTTCTAGTTTCTTTAACTCAAGTTGGTACTTAAGGGACATCTCAGACATTGATGTTTGTTCTGAATCTGAACTTTCTTCTTCCTGACAAACTTCAGCCTCCTCCGTTTCCTCTGTTACTTTCTTTTGTCTTCTGGTGGCCATCTTTTGCTCTAACTTTTACCTCACAACTTTTCTCCTATGCGATATCGGGCACTAAACTAGTTATGTTAAATGAATCCCATCGTCTGCCACCAATTTGTAATGACGCCACCTGTTGTAGGGACATTACTGATTTGTCAGAGTCTCCTACAATTTGTAATGAATCTACAAATTCGATAACACGGCCACTAGCCTGTAATATTTTATTTATCTTCTTTTCATGTGTAGCGCGGCTTGACTCAAAAGTATATGAAACAAAGATTTGGATTTAAGAGAAACTGTAATAAGTTTATTGAAGTATAGAAGCTTAATGATTTCAATGTTTCTTAACTCCTAGAGGTACATTCCTTTAGTGGTTACATTTATAACCTTTCATAAAAGAACTCTTAAGAGAACTCCTAGACAGGTTTTAAACTTATTTCCTTCAAAATGTGTTTCTTTCCTTAACAGATCCTTCAGGTACCAGCCTATTCTTTCCCTCTGTTATTTCTGTTACAGTAAAGATTCTTACTGGGGTTCTCTTCCCTTTTCTTTTGCTCAAACTCTAACTACTAATCTAAATAAGTCAACTTGGCCTATGTAAACCACACAGGCTAAAAGCCTAAACCTTCCTGATTCTCAGCTCAGTAGAACCAGCATTCCCTATGGTTCTCTGACCACAGACTGCCTATTTTAAAATGCTTGCTCCTGCCAAGTGGCAGTTGGCTCCTCCCCTTTTACCATGGCAACCCATCTCAGAGTGAGCTGAGCTGGCTACCATCCCCCCAGTTATGCTATTTTAAATACTTACCCCTTTAAACACCTAGCTATAACTACACATGACGGTAGGCTAAAATTCACACTTCACCACAGTAGAAGAGTTGCAGAGCTACTTTGACATGAGGTTGTAACATGAAAGACAAGATATTTTACCCAGAATATATAAATGTTTGTTAAGTAGCACCTACAGTTATTTTTTAAAAAATGCTTTCATGACAATTTTCATGCAAAATCAATTGTGAACAACTATTTTCCAAAATAAAAAACGGAAGTTGTCTAATGGGTACTTAATAGGCCTGGGCGGTTTCGTTCGTTAATTTTGTAATTCGTTAAATATTCATTATTTTTAACAATTACAAAACGATTACAAAACATATTTTCAAACCCGGAAGTGTTTTTAAATATTGAAACGGCATCCTCCATCTTTTTTACGGGCTTCCGCCTGTTTCGGAAATGACGTTTTAGGGATGGAGGATGCTGGGTGCGCCGGGAGCCAATCCGGCGCTCCCAAGCACCGTGGCTGATTGTGATTGGGCGGGCTGCCCTTTAAAAGCGGCTCCGCGTGGCCGCATTGCTCATTGCTGGGGAAGGCGAGGAGACGGGAGGTTCGGGAGGGAGGCTTGGCTTGCATTCATTCATTGCTTGCATTCATTCATTGCTTGCATTCATTCATTGCTTGCATTCATTCATTCCCTGGGCTGGGAGCAGCGGGGAGGCTTTGCCTTTGCCCTGTTTTCGCCCTATTTTTCCATTTTCAAATATTTCTGAAAAATATCTTTCTTTTATTCTTCAAAAAATTCAAAAAATATTCTAAAAAAAGAAAAGACCCTTGTGTGCCTGTGTGTGTGAGTTTGTCCCTGTCCTGTGGCTGTGTTCGCTCCACAACAGGGCAAGCATTTTGTTAATTTTCCATTTTTAAATATTTCTGATAAATATTTCTTTTTTAACGAATCGATTCGTTATCACCTTAACGAATCGACCCCTGTCTTAATAACGAAGTTCCGGGGGTGATTTGCGCATGCGCAGGGGGTCCGCCATCTTAACGAATCGATTTGTTAATATTAACGAAATTTCGTAAATATTGAACTTTTTTAAAGGAAAGTTTTGTAATTATTTTAAATATCGAAACGCAAAAACCCCCCAAATACAAATCGATTTTAGAAACAAATTTTTGCGTTGTTACCCAGGCCTAGTACTTAACTTCCAAGTATCATCATAGATTCTATGTTTAGTCAGGACTGGTCTTTAAATGTGTATTACAGAGTCTTTAAATGTGTATTACAGAGCCAGAAATACAGACATCTCAGCAGAGTACAGTAGAGTATAAAACATGAGTTAATTATGAGGCCTTGTATTTATGTACCCAGGACTCACAGTTTCACCTACCAGTTTCTGACAAAAGATGGCCCATCTTGGAATTTTTTTAGGTCTTCTATGGTATATCTTACCAGAGATTTACCACAAAGTCTCACCAAAAAATATCCACATACAATTGAGAAATAAATTATATATTGCAACAAAAAGCTCCTTAAAAGAAGTCCTATTAGAATGAAAGGAACCAGTAAACTTTGCTGGCAAACAGATCATAACTTTGCACTCATAATAGCCTTCTTAATGTGTATGTTGTAAAAAAACCCAAAGCAAATAATAGAAATGTCATTCAAGCAAAATCATACAGTCACTATTATTGCTTATGCTCACAGAATGATAATGAACTATTATTTCCAGAATTTACACATTTCCAGCTTTGCTGGTGTCAACATTTTCTTCTTCAAACAATTGTTCTGTAAATATGATTCAGTATAGGTGTTGGAATGCTAATAAACTCCATTGGCAGTGGCAGTGACAACTTCTATTTTTTCTGTAAATCATTGAATGATATGCTTTTTGCATCTTCAAAAAACAACAACATGACATAAGAAAGCACTGAAATATGACAATAGATAAATTTGGAAAACATTTAAAACTAAAATTGAAAATCAGTTTCAGAAAGATTTCTATTGTAACAAAGTATGTGTCTGTGCTATCTTGTCAGCAACAGTATATCAATTCAGAAAAAGTTTTCTATCTACAGTAATTTATTCTTGTCCTTTCTGTGCAGATTAAGAATACTTGTTTTAAACTGGTTAGCTTTTTCCTCATAGTCTGATCAAACTACATTTAAACTAAAATGAACAGTTACAAGTTAATAAAGCGTTTCAGCAGCAGCACTGTAACATTCCTTGGAGTTCAGAGAAGAAGAAAGATATATAAGTGCCTTGATATAATACTAATTATTATCATAATATTTGCATTTCAAGTGCTGTTGTTAACCCCCTTAGACAGAACCCAAAGTGAGCCAAGGGAGGACTTCCAAACACCATCCAAGAACAGTAACTTGCAATTTTGTTACTGCTGTATGAACATGCCACCAAAAGAAAGTGCAGAGGATGCCCCAAAGAATAGGAAATTCATTTAAGTGTCATGTGTACATTCAATAACTAACTGTCTAGTAAAGTGGAATTTTAGAATTAAAAACTTCTGTTAAAAAGGTAGAATTGTGACCTTATCTAATAGATTGGTATCATTGGTCTATTCATAGCAATCAGTGGAGATCTATAGACCAGTCTTTACAGGGGTGCTTGAAGACCAATCTTCATGTTTGCTGGGGCTAGAGGTACAAAACTCTTCTAAAATTAAAAAAAATATTTAAAAATGCCATTTTTGTTTCTGAGAGAATGCATCACTAGGAATTTCTATGTCCTCTATTGTCACCTTCTGTTCATATTCGACTATAGAATCCCACTGGAGAACATAGAGATTATTGAAGAGGTGTTTGCTCTAGGAATCTCTAGATCCTCCAATATGACTTTATGGTAAACTCCAGAGAAAGTTGCACTGGAAGACCTAGAGATTCCTGGGGATAAAATTTTAATTAAATTCAGGAGTAATCAGTTTGGAGGCCCAACTGTAGAATCAGTGTCATAAGGGCAATGGTAGGCCAAATGTAGTCTGGGAGTCACATGAAAGTCTTGGAATTCATTTCAAGAGCAATTTTTGGACGTTTTTCCTTCCAAATCAGCTGAAATTCCCAATAAATAATTGCAAGTCTGATAGTTTGCTTCCCCCAATTCTTCAAATCTGCTCAATTCATCTGCAAATCAGCCAGAATGGTGGCCTGAAGTCACTCCTGATAGATATACTGTTGTGACAGATAAGAAAATGTGTACAGATAAGAAGATGGTCCCCACCCCTCTGCAGTTGGCAACCCCTGTTCTAGAGAATACAACGGTTTTGTTCACATGAAGAACTTCACCCAAATGGATGAAGCAGGAAGCAGAGTGATACAGTGTTGAAGAATGTCATTAAGGGACAAATTAATAGATCTGTATTACAGTTCAATTTCTTGCTGTTGAAAAGTTATTTTTTAAATGACTTGTCTTGTCTGTTACTTCTACACTACCTTACAAAATTACGTTTTACCACTTCTGTAGAAAACTACACTGTTGCACATGTCCCTGGAAAAAAGATTAGAGAATTGTAGATTTGCCAGTGGTTGCAATAGAAGTACTCCAGTCCAATGTCTTGCTGATATCGGAAATCTTGACTTACATAGGGCCAATGAACTGCTCTTTATAGACCTTTAATGAAGGAGAATCTGCTACCACCGAGATCCCATTCCAGTGCTGTACAGCTCTTACTATGAAGAAATGTTCCCTCATATTTAGTTGATCCTTTGAAAAATCAGAAAACAAGTTTGCTCTCTCTTCGACCTGGTAACCAATCCAAGAGCCTTTATCACACAATGCTTTTGAGGTCACACATGGAGAGAGAGTTGTTAGGTAAACTAGAGACACAGGCTTATTTAACTGGGTGTAGTGATGTCTTCAGGGAGTCCAGATTTTTTTTGTGGGGATGGAATGAGGCAAGGCACACAGTGAGAAAACTATTTCATCATTTTGTTCTTGTGAAAGGCTTTCAACATAAAAATGCCATTAAAACCTTACAACTGAACAGCTGGAGAAAAAATGTTGGCAGTGGTTTTCTCTTTCCTTTAGCTTGCTGAATCATAACAATTTTCCTTATGAGATGCCTTTTCCCCTCTACTTCTTCTATTGGACAGGTTTTACTGGTGAATTTTGTGAAACAAATATTGGTGGCTGCATGTCAAATCCTTGTGGAGCTTATAACCTCTGTAAAGATACACTGGATGGTTATCATTGTTTTTGTGCACCTGGTTTTATAGGTAGGTGTGAAATTGCAATTAATTTTGAACCCCCACCCCGATTATCCTTCTGGCATATCTGGTCCAGTTCAGATAATTTTGGCTTTTATATAGTCCTTCTGGTGTATTAATTGTTCAGCAAATATTGTCTAGGACCCATGTACCCAGACAACTTAATGCAGGGCCTATCCAGAGTGGCAATTTTTAAATCATTATAAGTGGCATGAGAAATATATGCTCTGCTCTGATCAAAACTTCAAAAATCTGGTGGAGACTAACACAATACCCATAACATGGATGTTTGTCTCCAACAAGTAATAGATGTCCTTAGATCTTAAAGAAAATACTTTTGGGGACTACGACTCGCAGAATCCTCCAACCAACCAAGAATGGCAACTCCACAAAAATAAATAATTTTAATTTAAAAATCCCATGTTTTTAATGCTTAATAAATTGAACAGAAAGTAACCATATCCAGCTTTGCAGCTAAGTTCTATGGAATGACAGTAAAATTGCTACCCCATATCCCAATTACTTAGAAATCAACTCAGATGAAGTCATACAAATTTCCTTCTGAATTGACATCAGTAGGATTGCATTTTTTCTTACAAGTAAGCATGTAAAGAAGTATAGCTTTAGTTCTGCTTATTTCAAGGAAAATGGAGCGTTAGATGTGCATTATTTTTATTTAAGATTCCGTTATTCCCAACTGTGCTGTCTTATGGTATCTTTCTCATATACAGGAATTTTTGCTTATTTTCAGGTAATAACTGTGAAATAGAAGTGGATGAGTGCCTAAGTGGCCCATGTCATAACGGTGGTACTTGTGTTGAGCACCTTAATGCTTTCAGGTGCTTATGTCCGTATGGATTTCAAGGTAAAAAAAATCACACTTTTTGAATACCATCTTAAAAGTATAATTATCACTCCTTAAAATGCAATTGATCCAGATAATTATATGCAGAAAATGTAAGCATAAGCCTGCACAAGTCCCATTGGGTCCAATTACTATGGGATGAATTTTCATAGAATGATGATATTAAACTTCATTGCAAGCAAGAACTTTGGAATTGTTTCAACTACATGAACATTAAAAATGACTACAGTTTGAGAATAAGAGCTGCTTGTAAAATTAACATTACTATATTAACTAATTCAGTTACTTGGTTACTTTATCCTAGCCTTTGGAAAATTATTATTATTTTATTTTGAAATAGCAATGCTAAATTATCTTGACTCAACATTATAGAGATGTGACATAGCAGGCATAACCAAACATTATATTTGGAGCACTTGTCAATTTTTATTGACTATTTTGGATCTAGTATGCAGCTTCTTAAACTGCCTCTTAGATCAATGTTGGGGTCCCAAAAATATTCTGAATCTAGTGACTGTTTTAGGCATTTACACAAATCTGTTGTGCATATGAAGTACTTAATTGGACTATGCAGAAGATGCTTCAACTGTACTTCATAAATAGGAGCTTCTTAGCAAATGCTGATTTGTTATCAGTAAATATTTGCTTTATGCCAACTTTATATACCTATAAAATAGCTACCTGGGGTCATGTAAAAATGGGAAAAGTTTAAGAAGTATAAAAGTTTATTGTATAAAAAAGGTATTTTGTCAATGGCAAGCTTTTTGGTGTTTTGGAACCTTTCTGTCAGGAAGAGTAGAAATGCATCCATGTGATGGGCAACCTCAGGACAATCAGAATGTTCTTATGCATTGAAGTGTTTGATATGCAGCTTTATGCATATACCCCCCCCAAACCATTGAAAATATCCCTGTACTATTAAGTAAACACTTTGGTTAATATTGGGGCCCACTACTAAGGAAAGTATCTAAACATATCTGGAGGCATTGTTGAAGTTGGAAAAGGATGATGTGGTAAGAGGCATAGCCTATATATAGGTTCCTCTGATCTACATGCAGGGGAGTAGGTTTAAATCAGCCAATCCCCTCAAAGTCCCTTCTGGCCTCCTTCGTGTGGGTCTTCAAATGCCTGGTGGTAGGAACACTTTTTCTTTGACTGCTCCCAGGCTGTGGAACTCGCTCCCAAGAGAGACCAGGGTGGCCCCATCCCTGCTGGCCTTCTGCCAGCAGGTCAATACTTTTTTCTGTAATCAGGCATTTGAAGGATAAAGGGCACATTGCTGGGAGGCTATGGGTGGGATCAGGAAGGGGGAATTGTGTTTTAAAATACATTTTATTGTATGTATTATATCTTAACTGTATTTTAGCCTGACACTCACAATACAGTTTAATTCGGTTTTTTTTGTTTTTTTAAAAAAATGTATTTGCTTTGTTTTAAATGGATCAAAGTGTGTGGCTGTTAGCCATCTTGGGGAGAAAGGCGGGATATAAATAAAGTAAATAATACTAGTAGTTTGTAGCTGTTTTTTTCTGTTTTAAAAGTGCTTTAATAAATAATCTCATAGAAGCTAATCTGTAAAGTGAAGTATATAATTATGTTTTAATTCCCACTAGAGGCCCATCTACACTAGCATATAATCCAATGTAGATGGCACATTAGCCTGGCACATCCAAATGGATAATGCATTTTAACCTGGGGTAAACAATTTAATTCAGTTTACACCCAGGTTAAAAAAACTGCAAAGATCTGGATCTTCCTTGACACTTGGGTAGCCACCTACATGATACAGGAATCATGATAGAGCACTTGCTATTGATCTCCTACATAAGAAAATAGGCTCTTAATACTTGGGGGGAAAACAATGAAGAAGAATGGTTCCACAGGAAGACTTCTGCAGTATTTTCCTGGTATTTATAGATCCCAAAGTGTTCTGGAGAGTTATTCTGTGCAGATTTCCAGATGGAAAATGATCACAAAAAAGGTTTGCTTGGCTGCTTTCCTCTTGACACATTTCTTTTGCTTCTTCAAAATCCATAGCACTGTTGGTAACAGCTGACCTTCAGTTTCAATACTCGAGGTCCTGTGCTTCCCAGTTCTCTGTGTTTATACCACATTGTTTTATGTTTTTAAGCCAATCTTTAAATCTATTTTGTTGTCCACCAACATTTAATTTTCTGTCTATGAGTTGAGAATAAAGTAACTGTTTATTATCAACTTAACGACTCCTGGAAAGATTCAATTAGTGTTGCCTTCAAAAAAATCTTGCAAATCTCTTGGGAAGACAAATGCCAGTGTTTCAGAGGAAGAAAAGCCCACCAGCATCCAAGCCATGATTCTCTGCTATCAATTTTGCTGGAATGATTGCATTGTCAAATCAATCAATCAAAATAATTCCCTATAACAGGGACATGTGAACAAAGGAGATTACTGCAGAGAAGTATAGATTTTCTTCTTCATTGGGAAGAATAAACACAAATGGTTTATTCTTGAATGTGTGAATGAAACAGTCTAAATGTATATCCCAATTTTCTCCCTCAATGCATCAGAAGTGCCCCCTTTGTCCATTTTTTAAAATAGTGAGTACTTATTTTGTCATATATCGACCTGTCAAGAGCTATGGTAATTAACAGAGAAGAAGCTGTAATGAAAGCTACAGTGAGCATAGTAATTGTAAAGATGGAAGTCATGGAATTCTTTGCCCAAAGGAGACATAGCCATCTCTTGCTCTAAAAGTCATGGCACCCATTTCACAGATTTCAAACAAATATAGCATATTCACATGTGAAATAGAAGGGGACATTTCTTTTTATTTCAGTGGGAGTTTATTTATTGCCACCTCAAGAAAAGAATGAAGATTTCCCTTCGTGCCATGGCAAATATAGTCTATTATACACTAATGTTATTTTATTCTTTTCTCTTTTTATTGACACAAATTGATACGGAAATTGCCTGTCTTAAGTCTTGAGAATCAATTCGGTATCAGTGAAGACTTCTTTTTTATGATTTCTTAGAAAACTGGTAGAGGAGGACAACTAATAAATTATCCATTGAATGCTTTAGAGTGACAGGTTGAAAATATAATAAGGTTGCTGACAGAACATTTCTCAGAAGTGAGCTACTTTACATGAAAATGCAAAATAAAATCATACTCATGATCAAGTGTTTGAGTGCTGAAAAATATTGTCTTTCTTCTTTTTCCTACCACTTTATAGGCACACTTTGTGAAATCAATATTAATGAATGTCACTCAAATCCCTGTCTTCATAATGCAACCTGTACAGACCTTATCAGTGGATATGACTGCTCCTGCCTACCTGGCTTCACTGGTGAGTGAATAATAGACACACAACACCCACTGGAAGAGTAGCCCCAAGATGTCAATCAAGATTTTATGGACTGAATCTCTGTTGCATTTCTCCTCCTTCCTCTTTATCTGTCCCAATTTAATGATTCATTTGCATACCCAACAGACCCGATCTGTGGTCCCATCTATAAACTTTAGTAGAATAAATTCAATGAGGTCACACTTAGCCTGAAGATTACTTGGAGTTTCATAATCATTGCTTGAGAACATTATTTTGTCTCCATTCAGTATGTCCCCTTCTGCTCAAAGGTTTCAATTTTGATGGAAAAGAATGGCCAGAGAGATGAAGAATGTTAGGACAAAATATACTTCAATTTGGGGAGCAAAATGAGAACCCCTTGGAGATAGACAAAACATTGGTTCCATCTTTTAACATTACCTTAATGGGAAGACTTCTTGCAATCATTAATAGTCTATTTTCTTTGGGTATTTCATCTCATCAAAACAATATTTCATTGCATTTCCCCTGGTTGTGAGAACTACTGAGTTTTCAAACATCCCTTCAATATGTACTTTAAATTCTGCCTGAATTCCAGTTTCCGATTTTAAGCAGAAAATAAGAATGTTTAAATTTTATTTTAAATAAAGCATTTTCTGTACTATGCACACATCTCCGATCTTTTAAACAGTCCAATTAATGACCAGTAAATACATAATCATCCAGCTTATAACAGGAGGGTGTTCTTGATTTTTTATAGTTTATTAATGAACTCCATTCCTTTTTTCATGTTTTCCATAATGTGCTATCTGATTTTGACCATTCTATCTATGCATCCTATTTTTTTTCTTCTACAAAGATAGGGTTCAATTGCTAGGTGAGACATCTTTCTTGAGGCTGCACTTCCAACATGTTTACCTCTCAATGTGTAATGACCATGGTCTTGAAAGGACCTTATTATAATACGTATGTGATGTATGCTAAAAAAAAATGAGTTGCTGAAACAATGTATACTTACTCGTTGTTACTAGTGATCTTTGTTTTAGGCACCTGACAATTGCCATTGTGGGGTTTTCTATTCATTATTTTCTATTCATTTCTTCTGTCCCATCCTTTTCAATTAACTGGTAAATTGATGTACAAAATACACCTTCTTGTGAAGAGCTTTGATTTCATCAAGCAACATTATTAGGGCACTCTTCAATTTTTGCTTTGTTTTGAATATTTTGGAAAACATATCTTTCCATCTAGAGTGAAAGAGAGATAGATAGATATACAGATATTTATCTATCTATGCATCTATCTATCTATTTGGTAAACAAGCTTTTTCTATATAGAGAGAGGAGGGAGAGAGAGATGACTAATGAGTTATATGTTGCAGCATATTGTTGTCTAGGAATAGAATATTATTCACAGACTAAAACTATCAAAATGGTTGATGTCTCATTGGTACAGAGCTTGAAAATTGCATTTTAGAGCAAAAGAATTCATATTCTCAGTACTCTAAAAATTCTTGTAAAATTTGTTCAGGTGGATTTGGTATCTTTTGGAAACAAGCTCCTTAAATGTTTGCTTGTGATAGTAAGACATAAAGTCCAAGCTATTGCAATGCCTTCATTAGACCATTCAAGTAGGCACAATTTTCTCTGTGCACAGAACATTGAGAGCCTTTTTGAATGGACGTCATTGTATCCACAAGTTGGAGGAAATCTCTGACATTAATATATGCAAGGACCTTATGGTTTTGATTGTGATTTCTCAGCATGAAATGGATTTGAAATCCTATGGTACATACTGAACTATGATCTACCGACACCTGCTTGTTTTACTAAATTGCTGCATCTCCAATTATCTTTTCAAAGGTCTACACTGTGAAACTGATATAGATGAGTGTGCTTCTTTTCCTTGCAAAAACGGAGGCACCTGCATTGACCAACCTGGTAATTACTACTGCCAATGTGTGGCTCCATTTAAAGGTAATGAACACTGAGGGAGAAGGGAAAGTAAACATAATTAACTTTAGAAAGCATTTTTGTCTGAACTCATTTTCCTCTTCCAAACAGGATTATTAGGCCTTTTATTTCCTCAAAGCAGGCTTCAAAAGTGACCAGCCAATTATCTCTTAGGCTGTGAGTAATGTGAACTAACTTTTATTTATTTCAACAAGAAAGGGGCTTTAGTCATTTGTTAAAAGAAATGCCAAAAAGGACCATGGACATAAAAGAATAGCTTAGTGGCCTTCTGAAAAGTAAAACATCAAAACTTTCTCTGTCTGGTTCAAGCAGGCGAGTGTAATTTAAACCCATCCATTCTCAGAAGGATGGTTTATTGTTCTGTATTGCAATGTATCATATCACTTTGATTCTACACATTTCCTCCCCAAAAGTTGACACCCAGCCTCTCCACACCTACCAAAAAACAATGGCAGTCTGTCCTCAATGGGGTGACTTCCAACAAAGAAGTATTCCATTTTTTGTCAGGGTCCATCTGATTTATCCACACACTACAAAGAAGTGGCCATAGTCATTCCTCACAGGGAGACTTCACCTCGAGAGGAAGAACGTAAAGGATCCCGTGGGATAATCCCAAGTAGAATAAAGCCATATGATCAAATCAATATGTGTGTGTGTGTGTGTGTGTGTGTGCATGTATATGTGTATGTGTATATATAGAGAGAGGGGGTGGGGTGGGGGAGAGAATTAAAATGTTCCTTTTGGTTCAACAGGTCTACTCAGGGTTTGAGGAACATTTTGATTTGGACTATAGAGGAATCAACAAAAGAAATGTATTACATGTGTTTTTGGATGGGTGTGTGGGTGTGTAACTGTTGATCCTCAAACTATTTTTAAGTATTGCAAAGCATATGCCAATCCAGTAAGTAAATAAATAAAATTTGTTTGTATATGTCCTGAAAGTTCATTCTCCAAAGCAGAAACATGAACTCTTTTGCCTTGGTCCTTTATACCATTAAAAATTGTCTAGCATGAAGATGAGTTGGTTTATTTTTTTCTTAGAGATGTGGTGCAAAAAGGCTGCCATATATAAAACAATTTAAAATTTCATTAACTCAACATGAATGTCAGAGTTTGTACATTTTAGAATCCTTGCTGCACCATTTTTTTTAGTTTTATTGAGTTTTTCCATTTCTAAAGAAGAATCTCATAAATACATTCATTCTTTTTTTAAAAAAATAGAAGAGATCTATGCAGAGGGTGACCTTGAAAACAATGAGGTTATAAGGCTGTCACTTTTTTAACCTTGAAAACAACAAAAATAAAGGGGATTACCACATTTTTTTCTTATCCAGTGACTGTCTAACAGAGTTGTGTGGATTTTCTGAGTTCTTCCTTTGGGGGCAATTAGCTTTTCTCACTTTTGATGTAAGCCACTCACCTTTAAATCCCCCTTTCTCATTCTTTGCTTCATTTTTCAAGGATGTCTTGAGGGTATCTCATGTGAGCATATTGTTTTAAAGCTTCCCTCAATTAGTTTTCTTCAAAATGACATTGATACCACCTGTCTTTAGTTTCCCATGCTATGGAGTACCAAGATGTCTGTCTACATTACTATATTTTCAGAAAGTTCATAATGGATTTACAACTTCCCGTTAGACAGAGCAATCCTAATAACTTGGGTTCTCTCTCTCTCATTCTCTCTCTCTGTCTATCTCTCTCTCTCTCTCTCTCACACACACACACACACACACACACACACCAATGGCAGCAACATGTTAGGATTCCATAATCATAGAATCATAGAATCATAGAATCAAAGAGTTGGAAGAGACCTCCTGGGCCATCCAGTCCAACCCCCTGCCAAGAAGCAGGAATATTGCATTCAAATCACCCCTGACAGATGGCCATCCAGCCTGTGCTTAAAAGCTTCCAAAGAAGCTACCACTACATATAAAGCCTTCAATTTGAACTGGATGCTAAATAAGGGTGGATCTAGACAACCCTTTATCCCAAAAGCACCTGTGTTAAAAAAAAGGCATATGTTTTGGCAGGACTATCCTGAGAGAATGTGGGGAGTCCCTCCCCCCAAGCCCCTAGATCCCTTAGAAAACTTTGAAATACTTATGAGGTCTCCATTAGAATCCTGGCAAGCTCTCTCGCCACATAAAAATGACACACCAGGAGATGGTGGGGGCGGAATTTTCCTCCCTCCTCCACCCTCCCATCTCCTGGTGTGTCATTTTTATGTGGCGAGAGAGCTTGACGGGATTCTAATGGAGACCACATAAGTATTTCTTACCTTTCTAAGGGATCTAGGGACTTGGGGGGAGGTGGTGGGTATTCCCACAGTTTACTTGGCTTATTTAGTGCGATAAACTCTGCAAATGAAATAGTTTCCACAATAAAGGGGCTGTATGGACAGGCCCTAAGTAAAAACATTTAATCAACTCAGACTTGTATAATTCAGTCACCATTTAAAGACACAGCATTAAAAAATGGAAGCTCCTTATTGTCTAGCATTGGAATATTCCTCATCCCAAAGTCACAAGGCAGTATGTAGAAGAAAACCTAATATTTCCAGAACAACTGGTGACATTTGCCTAGAAAGAAAGACCTGCATAGAAGTTCTGAATGATTAAAAGCAAATAGGAGATCAAACATTCGGGTAATGTAGTAACATCAACAGAAAGCTTCACTTCAGTTTGACAGAACAATGAATGCTGGGAGTGTGTTATATGAGGGGGTCTTCGAAAAGTTTCCACACTTTTTGAACTCTATTGATTAAGAATTAAAAGAAACAAATTACAGCACTTTTCTACATAGTTGCCTTCCTTTGCAATGCATTTTCCCCAATGGCATACCAACTTTTTAATGCCAACAGCAAGAAATGTTTTTGGTTGAACACATAGCCCATGGATGAACTGACTTGGATTAGTTCTAGCGTCCTTTTTTCATTCCTTATGGAATTGCTCCTACTCCCACCCTCATTATTTCTAACCAAAACATAAAAGTGAGTAAACATTTTGAAGATCCCTCATAGTTTAGTAGTACTAGCTCTTATGGATCTATTCTATGGAATCATGGATTTGTAATTTTCTGAAACACTAGACATTTATTGTACTCTAGTTCAGTGGGAGGAACTATAGGTCTTTAAGAGAATGCTAAGCACCCTACCAAATTACAACTTTTTGTAAGATACAGTCATGGAAGCTGAGGCAACATCAATCTACAGTGATCAAATGCATCATCAAAATCCTGCACATTCTGCAGAATTGCAATGTATACGTTTACTATATGTGAAGCAACTGTTCACAGTCAGATCTTTTGCTCCCTATTTTGTTAGTCATTCAAAAGGTTGAAAACCCCCAAATATAAATAAGATGTTTTAGAGGGGTCACAAACTCATTGTTTATTAACATTCAAAGGTTGTTAAACCACTACATGGCTTGAGATAGTACTCATATAATTATTTCCATAGAGGAAGACAAAGAATACTATTTTTTATTCCTGCTACTTTGTGACTCAGTAAAAAAAAAATAGCTGTGCTTCATTTAAAAGGCAATGTTAGTTGCAACCCTAATGACATATGTCCCCAAATGCATAGCAATTAAGATTAAAGCTGAAATGGTTATTGGCCATTAAAATGTTTTGTAAAGAAAAAAAGTAAGCTTATATGAACAGCTCAGAAAAATATGTGGAATAAGTAGAATAATAGCAAGATACTTTTGTCAGTAGAGGTAAGTAGAGATCAGATTATAAGTAAACAGCTTTCACACACTTATGAAAGAGAGAATTAAGGAAAATTCAGATAATGGACCAAATGAACAATTAATTTTCAGTGATCACAGGTAACATGCTTTATGATGTGACTCAGTGGAAAGTTACAGCTATTAAAACCCAACAGGTCTCAGATCTGGGACTCTGCTGAAATATGAAAGTGCTAGCTCCCAATTTAAAAGACTTTATCTCTGGCTGCTGGCTATTCTGTCGTAGCATCACCAAATTATTCTGTTAAATCTATACCATTGTTGAAACTCCTGCAGGTCCTCAGCATGTCATCACTTAAGTCATGCTGCTGAAATTTGCAAACAATAAGACCTGATTGGGTAGGAGCAGAAAAAACAAAGTCTGTTCAGAGGCTTTTTGATTAGCTTAATTATCTTCTTTGGGCAATTAGGACGTGCTTTGTCCAAGGTAAAATAGAAGACAGCAAAGCTAAAATATTAAGACTTTGACCAAGCAAGCAATAAGGATGACTTAAACTGCATTATGAAACAGAATTACATGGCAGTATAGATGGGGCCTCCGCTAAAATCTGGGCTAATTCTGTATATATATAAAAAAACTGACCCCTTTCCTTTTCGTTCTTGAACTTTCTACTGACTTACTTAATATGAAAAAGAAGCAAGAAATATGTAACAGTAAACAAAAAGGAATTTAATTGTATTGGAGATGAGCACCCTGTCTTCTTCCAGGATCTAAACAATTAATTGATGGACTCGATGGAAGCTTAGAACTTAACAGGAGTTCTCTTATTTCTTCCAAAGAGATCCTTTTTCTAGCCTCTTTTCTGTGTCCTTTGTCCAGATTTGACTTCTGTCAACACCTCCTACTTAAGACTTTTATTCTTCAAACTTTCTTTAATTTGTTTAATTTGTTTCTTTAATATTTCAAACTTGTCTCTCCAAGTCTTAAACTTAGTTTCCTCAACCTTTGACATGGAAGATATAGCCTTTAGGCTCTTCAGAATGACTAGCTGCAAAGGAGTTGCTGAGCAGGACTGTAAGCTCTGCTTCTGGGGGGGGGGGAGTGTTTAAAGGGGCAGGGTCTAATTAAGGTCCTCCCCCACAGAAAACTATACAAAAAGGAATTAAATCCATTATAAATAAAAGGGCAACCGAGACTTCATAAAGAAAACAGTAAAAGCCTATGTGGAAGCATGACAGTATCATTTCAAGATTAAATGATTAATCCATTTTGCACTCTAAGCAATTATACCTTTTAATTCTATCCTGGAATTA